ACAATCATAGTGCCTCAGCCTCCCCAAGAACTGGAATTACAAACATGTGCCACCACACAAACCCTGATATATTCTCATATCATCAACCTAAAATCAGTAATTCCCACGTCCGGTCATTTCTGTGAGGATAGACATGTATGTATGATGAAGGAACTATGAAGAGGCCACTGAGTACCAATACACAATATCAAAAAGAGTAGGAGTAAGGGATTAAAACCAGGAGGCATAAAGTAAAGCTTCTTAGCTATAAATTGAATGAATTATATAATTTCCCTAATTTTTCTCTTCGTCACCTTGGAAGACAAAAGAAAAATGAGGAAGAATCCAATAGAGGGATGCTTTTGGAAGCTCTTGTCAAGAAATTCCAATGGACTCTGATATGAATATTTGGCATCTGCCCTGTTCTGACTTTTTTCTGGTTCCCTGTCTAGAACTTGTAATGCTAACTACTCTTGCTTTTACTTCTCCTTCACATCCCCTATTCACCAGTCAAGAACTTTCTATTCTCCCTATAGATAAGAATTATGCAATTTGGGAGTCTTTTAGATAGACCCATTGAAGGGGTACCCCAATTAACTCACCCTGAGTCCCTTTTGAGCATGGAAGAAGCCAGAGTGGTCTGTGTCCCAATTCCCTATTGGCAATTTGGGTAACTTCTTCTGAGGATGGTGTGATAAGAATAGGATGTAGGGATTAGCTAGGCAGTTAGGGTAAAAAAGACACCCCCCCCAAAAGTAGCTAGTCTCTTGGCTAGAAGTCAAAATGTTTTTGGACCTCTTAGCAACATACTCTGTTCTAAAGGCCAAAAATGTCAAAAGTATTTGGGAGCTCTTATTAAATCCTTAAAAGATTTTAGGGTTACCTCTTCAGAAGAGGGAAGGTTAGAGTAGCCAAAAGCCCAGGAGGGAGGGAGGGAGGGAAGAGAGTACATGAAGTTGTCAGAAAAAAAATGATAGGGAGATATGAGAGGTGTTGGAGTCGAGGGAATTGGCATGAATTTGATCAAAACACCTTAGATGCATGTATGAAATTCTCAATAAAATTTTTTTAAAGTTAAAAAAACATGGAGTGAATAAAGTTAAGCAAATTTGTAGCACCAAAATCAGGATTTAAACCAGTTTTCTAACTGCATACTCAGTGTTCTCCGAGGTTGCCCAAGATGCCTCACAATGATGACTGGCCCCTAGACCTTCAAAGTCCACAGCAAGTCCAAAGACAAAGATGCTAATGCTATGCTTCAAACTGAAAAAAGTGACATTTAAAATGTGGAGATCTTAGTAAGAATCCTAAATATTGGGACTTAAAAATATTAACAAGTGTTCAATAAACATCAATTTTTTTTTTTTTTTGTCTTTTTGAGACAAGGTCTCCCTGTAGCCCCAGCTGGCCTGGAACTCACTATGTAAGCCAGGCTAGCCTCGAACTCACAGAGATCCACCTGCCCCTGCCTCCCGCGTGCTGTGATTAAAGGCGTACCACCATGCCCGGCTTTCTAAACATCAATTTTTTTAAAAAAAGATTTGTTTTTATTTTATCTATATGAGTGCTATGCCTGCATGCATGTTTGTGTATCCTTGGAGATCAGAAGAGGGCACTAGAACAGGAGTTACAGAGAATTGGTAGCTGCCACATGAGTGCTGAGAACCAAACACAGGTCCTCTGCAAGAGCAATCAGTGCTCTTAACTGCTGGGTCATCTCTTCAGTCCAATATACTAAATATTTTAAAAGCATTTTATTTTTTTTTATTTTATGTGTATGAGTGTATTATCTGCATGTAGGTAGGTATACCCATATTGTGCAATGCCCATAATGCTCAGGAGAGGGTTTCAGATCCCCTGGTCCCAGAGTTAAGGATGACTGTTAGCTGCTATATGGGTACCGGGAATCAAACCCAGGTCTTCTGCAAGAGCAGCCAGTGCTCTTAAGCGCTGAGCCATCTTTCCAGCCCCATAAGTAAGCTTTAATTTCAAATTCCCTTTACTTTTGAGTCCATAATATGGTTTAGACTAAGATAAATTGTTTACAGAATAAAGCCCTCAATACACTATTCTTACAGAAATTGATACATATAAAAAATAAAAATACAAAACAGACTGTTATACTAAGTGAGTTAACACAATCTCAGAAAAAAAATCGACATATGTTCTCCCTCATATGTGGATCCTAGGATCAGACTT